CCCTTGCCCAGTTGACTCAGGGCGGTGGTTCCTAGGATTCTGACTTTGTGGTTCCAGGTGCTTCTGCTATTTCTTCATCTGGTTTTTAATTTTTTTTTTTGTGGCGGGGGGGGGGAGGGGTGTCTCCCGCTTTAGGTAGGACACATTTCCAAAAACAGAAAGAAACGTTTAAGGTTTGCCCAATTTATGCCCTAGGACAAGGACCCTATCTTTCTGACTTTCTAGAATTCTGTTCAATCCATTTGCTTTTTGAGGAATGTTTACCTTTTCTTTCTTTCAGACCAGTGTTTCAGCTGCCAAATCTCTCTAGAGCAGCTGCAAGTATTTCAGCTTTTTTAACTTCATACATTCCATACAGAAATTCTCTTTATACCAGTGAGTGCGCGTGAGTGTGTGTTAGATATAAGGAGTCTCCCTCCCAGAAAGCCTTAAGGAAAGAAAAGTCGACCCAGTTAGAATAAAATAGAGAAGGCTTTAGTCAGTGTGCTTTGGACCTGCACAAGGAAACCCCTTACTCCTACTGCCCTGGGCAGGGCAGGGCATGACCTTCCCCAGGCTGTGCCCCTCCCCACCGAGCTGAGTCCTCACTGACCTTCAAGCCCCAGACACTGATGGAATGCCCTGCCCCAAGTCCCCAAGCTTGTCTTCAGGGCCTTTTCAAGCAGAGAGGGCAGACTCCATCCCTGAGGAGCGCCCACAGGGGCAGCTGTGCCGTGTGGGGTTGTGGAATAGCTTGCAAATGTGTGCTGAGGCCTCCCTGGGGCGAGACAGAGCCTGGGTGGGGAAGGGAAGGCATCTGTTCATTGGCCAGCGCTGTTCTTTCCAGTCTGTCCTGCAACTCTGAGGGCTCCGAGAATTCTAAACTGTACCTACCTGGACTCCAGGTGGTTATAAAGCTAGATTTGTCAAGGGTGGAGGATTATGTGCCAGTTTGCTAGCTTGATTAGCACTTTAAAGTAGTAATTACAGGGCCTCCATTTGTACTTCTGCCCCAGGCCCCACAGATGATAGAGGTGGGCATACAAGGACAGGCTGAACCCTCTTTCATTTTGATCTATTTTGCTTTGTGTCAGTGTGTGAAGTACAGGGTCTGGAATATACCGGGCGCTTGGCAAATGCTGGCTCTATGTGTGAAAAATGAAGCAGTAAGCCGAGTTGTACTGTTCTGCCTGTAAGCCTATTTGTTTGAAGGAAAATGCTTGCGTTCACACTTAAACTAGGGGAGGGATGTTTGCAGATAAATTGTTTGCCCTGGAAGTCAAATTTAATCCTGGTGACTAGAATCCTTCTTTATCTCCCTGGCCCTTGCCCCAACCCTGTTCCTGTCCCCTTGAGGCAGGACTGCCTGACCTCCCAGAACCCCCATTTTTACCAGGCCCCGCTGTGACTACCTCCTTGAGTCAGTGCCAGTCACTCAGAAACAACTAGAAATAGTTTCCACACTACATGGAGCTGTCCAGAACCCCCAAAGGATAGACTTTAAAACCTCTGATTTCCTTCAGTCTTTAAAGGAATAGGGCACGCTTCCATTTTATTCTCAAAACAAAGGAGGAATCATGACTCAGAAAACACGGGAGGCAGGGAAAGCTCTATGCCAGTGGTTCTCAACTTTGCCTGCACATTAGAATCACCTGGGAATCTTTTTAAAATCCTGATTTCTGGGCCTCATCCCCCAGAAATTCTGTTTCTTTGTTATGGGGTGGGGCCAGAACATTAGTAACAAAGAAACAGAATTTCAAAGAAACAGAATTAGTAACAAAGAAACAGAAATTCCCAGGTGATTCTAATGTGCAGCCAAGGTTGAGGACCACTGCTCTATGCTGTTTTGTCTGAAGTCAGGCAGTTTGAGTGCAAAGTTCATTCACCTGAGTGTGTGGATTAGATGATCCACTGCTCAGACGCCTCAGGTGGAAGCTCCACTTTGCAAATGGGAGTTTAGGATCCTGCGTGGGCATGGACTGAACTGAAATTCCACCACCTCTTCCACAAGGACCCCTGCTTTTGCAACAACAGGATCTGAGGATGTTTCTGAAGTACATTGATGGTTCAGTCCAAATCCTGTTTGTGCTTAATGAAAGTGTGGGTCAGTCCATAGGAAAGATAAAAGCTGTTGTCTGGTTAGGGCTATTAATTGCAAGATGCCAGCGCGATGCTCTCTCAGAGGAAGGAGGTCAGAAATAAAGAAGATGCTGGACTTTAGTAGAAAGAAAATCCTTATCAGTCCCTCAGATGAAAGGAGGACAAAAAGGAGTTTGGATAAGAACTCTAAGTACTCTTCAGTGTCAGGAGAAAGTATCAGGACAAAAGCAATGAAATGAGGAGAAATGTGATCTTTTATTGATTTTAAATGAAGCTTGGTGAAATGTTAATCAGGTTGAGACTTAATTTTGGATGTAGCCCTCACGTTGGAAATGTCTGGAAGGAACGTTCACTGGGGCATTGAAATTGAACTTATATTGGTACTAGAGGCCCAGTGCACAAAATTCGTACACTGGGGGAGAGGGGGGGTCCCTCAGCCTGGCCTGAGCCCTCTCGCAGTCAGGGATGTCCGACTGATGACTTAGGCCTGCTCCTTGCCATCGTCGGACATCCTTAGCGCTGCTGGAGGAGGAGGGAGAGGCTCCCACCACCACCGCGGTGCCCAGCTTCTGGCTGAGCAGCACTCCTCCTGTGGGAGCACACTGACCACCAGGGGACAGCTCCTGCATTGAGTGTCTGCCTCCTGGTGGTCAGTGTGCATCATAGCGACCCGTCGTTCCGCCGTTCGGTCGATTTGCCTATTAGCCTTTTATTATATAGGATAGGAGTTAGAAATGGAGGTTCTTAGGCCAGGCTGTTTGTGTTCAAACCCTGGCTCTCCCCTTTCTTAGCTGTGGACTGACTTTTCTTGGCTTTGTCTGGCAATGAATGCTTGGTGTCTGCTATCATTGCTCCATTTTCAAGCTCTTTTAGGCACCAGGGTGGTGTTACTTTCCATTTTAGTTGACCAGTTGTAGGTAACTTAGCAGTTAGTCTTTATAGTCCTGGTTGTACTTTGACAGAAATGTCTTGCTTTGAGTCTCCCTCATTGTTTTGTTGTTTTGTTTTATTTGTTTTGAGCCATAAGCTCATTATAAATATCAAGTCTCTCTTTGTCCTTGCACCAGAGTTGAAAGTCTGAGTCCCAGGAAGTTTTATTGCATTGGTTACAACAGAATCCCATTTTAGAGCTGTCATGTTTCTGGCCTGGACGTCTATTAGAGGGGATGGTGAGATAGTATGGGTTTCTCAGTAGAAGGTGATAAAATTTTCTGCCTCTGTGAAGAGGAAAAGGAAGGAAATGGTAAGTGTGCCCACGTTCCTTCCTCTTGGCTTAGTTTAATCCAGCACACTTTTCCAAAGTGCCAGGCACGGTGCTCCAAGCTGAGGATCATTTCCAAGCTGAGTGGGAGTTGTCTTTTCACAACTGTTGTGAGGAAGGTGGTCATAAGAGACTACAAGGAGTAAAAGAGGGAGGGAGGGGTCCTCTGAGTAGGGCCTTGAAAGATGGGAAGAGGGGGATGTTGATGCCAGCCACATGCGGGGCTTGTGTAGGACATGCAGACTTCTCCCTGCCTCCCAAGAGAAACTTTTGAGGACAGTAAGTGGTGTTCTCAGGATCTGGGGTCATGTGAAGGGCCTCTTGGGGGCAGATTTCATTTGGTTTTAGTGTTTTATCTTCACCATTTATGTGAATATGTTCACTACACAATAAATATTAATGCAAAAATGCTTAATTTTTTGTGCCATAATATGCTTCAGAAAGGGGAGACCATGAAACTTTATCTGTGGCTTATGTCCGTCCTGGGTGCAATAAACCAACCTCACCAGATAGCCTCTTCCACCCATGACGCAGCAGTCCCCGGATCCCCTCACAAGACAAATGCAAGTCCTCCCTCTTCTTCCTGCCTTTAAACGAATACACCACCTTTCAGATAATGGACTTTTACCCTTTGTACCTTTTCAAATAAGGGGCATTGAGGTATGATTTACAACAGTAAAAGTCACCAATTTTAAGTGTGCAATTTGATGTCCTGACAAATATGAACAGTTGTGTGAACGTTAATACAATAATGATATAAAATATTTCCATCATCCCCAAAACTTCCCCATGCCCCTTTGTAATCAATCTCTTCCCCTCTAATCATGAAAACATTTTTTTTAAATTTGGAAACAATAAGGATAAGAATAGTACAAAAAACCCATAGGTATACCTATTGACCTATTACTGAAATTTTCTTTCTCTTTTGTGTGTTCCCTTCAGTTTTTCTGAAATGTTTGAGGGTAAATATGTGTCAGTCATGTATATGTATATGTATATGTATATGTATATGTATATGT